AGCCTGTGCCAGTGACTCGCCACCCTCAGTGTAAAACATTCCTTCCTTATATATCTGATCTGAATCCACTTTCTTTTAGTTTAAAACCATCACCCCTTGTCCTATCACAACAAGCCCTGCTGAAAAGATTTTCCCCATCTTTCCTATAGGCCCCTTGAAGTCTCCCTGCAGCCTTCTCCTCCCCAGGCTGAAACAGCCCCAGCTCTCCCAGCCTTTCCTCCCAGCAGAGGGGTTCCAGCCCTCGGATCATTGCTGGGGCCTCCTCTGGCCCCGCTCCCACAGCTCCAGCTCTGTCCCGGGCTGAGGGCTCCAGAGCTGGACACAGGGCTCCCGGGGAGGGTTTCAGTGATGGTTGTGCTCAGCCTCAAAGCCCAACTAGAATTAGGCTGTTTCTCCCCGGTAGCTGTGGAGGTGTTGGGTGGCTGAAGTCTCTGGCTCACAACACGAGGACGTGGCAAGAAGGGACCTAGACTTCAGCCTGCACCTTGCACAGCCTCGTCTGAAATGAGTGGCAGCAGCCCGTCGGGGTAACAGCAAAATCCAACCCCCCCAGCTGAAATGGGACTGCGGCTGGCATCTGCCTCGAGAGCTGTTTGAAGGCATCTTACCCAGTCTAGCAAGTTTTTTGTCCTAGTGCGAGAATTTGAGGCAGGAACAGACTGACCAGCTGCCCATCATCATCCCCTGCTCCCCTGACCCTTCTATGTGGACTTTGTGGGTGGTCAGCAGCTGCTCCCAGTTAGGGCTTGCAAGACCTGGCTTTACTTTTGGGCCAGTTCCAGCTATCTCTGCACGGCAGGACCACAACAGAGACACAGCCCACCTCCAGGTCTCAGGGCTCAGCCCCCAAGCCATGGCACCAGCTCTGCAACCTAGTCCAGGTGCTCCACATCTCCCAGAACCGGCTTGTCTGTGCTGGACAAACAGCAACCCCCGGCCAAGTCCTTTTCTTGTTCGCCCACACCACCCTCCTTGCAGCCACCCCCATGGACATGTGGCTGCTCTTCTCACAGCCTTGTCCTCATACAGTGGCTTCTGTTCCCACGAGCCCTGGGCAAGGCAGGACACTGCTCAAACCACGACCCCTTCGTGGTGGGTCCTTCCAGCGAAGTAGCTCCCAGCTGCTGACTGGGATCCATCCACTGTATCGTGATGCTAAAGTCACCACCGCACTGAGCAGGTCGCACGGTCCCCAGGTTCTGCCCAAGTTAAGATGCAGGTGGAGATGGAGGTCCCATGGACCATCCATTCCTAGCTGCCTCCTTTAGGAGCCCTCACACCCCCGTGGTAGCTCAGTTCATGCCATACCCTTGTTCTTCTCATGCACGAAGCCCAGCAGAGCTGTCCCAGGCTGGGCTCTGCTCTGGAGATGCCATATGGACATGATGGCACCAGCTTCATCTCCCTCCAGCGTAGCCATCCCCAATTTCAGATGTCTCTCCAAGAGCTGCTCCTGTCCCAGCAGGAGCTGGGACACTCGGAGCAGGGTGGCAGGCAGGGCCGGTACTGTCCCTCTGTCAGGGTGATGCTGGCTCGGCACCCAGGCCAGGCTGTGCAGAGGCTCCTTCCCCGCTGGCCTGGGGGGTTTGGAGGGGTGTGGGGCTGGGGCACCCATCGGCACGTCCATGGGGCCAAACCTCCAGGCTGGGAGTGAGCTGGAGCACTCCCTGAGCGCACGCTTCTAGCTGAGGAGCTGCAGCCAGGTTTGGGAAGGGCCCAGCTGGCAGCGATACCCAACTCCCCCACCGCAGCAACAAAAATAAACCCAGAGGTGAGATTTTTATCTTTGCCAGAGCGTATTCCAGCGTGTAAGAGTCTGTTGGCCCAAGACTTGAGCAGCCTCCCTCCCCATTCCAGGCAGCCCATGGCTCGCAGCGGGTGTCGG